CTACGGCAAGTAACTGTTTCGTCGAGCCTCAGTCTTTGTAGACCGAACGAAGTAAAGCTCAATGGTTTTTTTCTTCAGTGTCTTATGTTCGTCCTGTCATCATTCTCGGCCCGCTGAAAGACAGGATAAACGATGATCTCATTTCTGAATTTCCGGAAAGTTTTGTCAGCTGTATTCCTCACACGAGCCGACCGCAGCGCGACAACGAAGTTGACGGCCGGGACTATCATTTCGTGACGCGCGAACAGATGGAACGCGATATCCAGAGTCACATGTTCATCGAAGCCGGGCAGTACAATGGCAATTTGTATGGAACAAGCATCGACGCCGTGAAATTCGTCGCTGACCAGGTAAAGTTACGTAGTTGCTACGTAACATTTTTTGGAAACTTGTGCATGTTCTGAGCAAAAATTGCTTCTGTGATAGTACGTATTATGCTAATTTTACTAATGACGTTAGTCGAGGGATCATTGAGCTGCCTTGAATGCTGTTATAATGAATTTTATTTTAGAAAAAACACTGTATTTTGGACGTTGGCGGGGGAGCGATTAAGCGTCTTCAGATGGCTGGATTGCACCCTATAGCGCTCATCGTGAAGGCGTACAACGCGCAACAGTTGCTGTAAGTCGATTATTGATTCGACGTGTGTATTATATATTCAGCATTTCTAGGGAGTGGAACAAGCGCATTACTGAAGAAGAAGCGTATCGACTTTATCAGAGGTACCTGCAGATGGAAGAGGAGTTTGGGAAGTATTTTACAGGTACAGCATTAGCGGCATGCGTCGAACAAAATCAAAATCTACAACTTTCCGTTTATAGCAATCGTGCAAGGGAACACTCCGGAAGAAGTGTATGCAAAAGTGAAGGATCTTGTTAGAGTTCATTCACGTCCCACTGTTTGGATCTCAAGTCAGGAGTCATTGTAGAACGGAACGAGGCCCTTGCCTGTGTGAAGCCTGTACACTTGTTTACAGAGCTGTACAGACGATTATTGTTATTTTATTCCATTTCGCTCAGTTATGTATTAAGTTATTGTTATTGGATTATGTCCTATTCTTTAACGAGAAAATTAGTTGTCTGCCACACAACGCAGGTTTTATCCCGAACGGACATGTTTGTTGATTTTACAATGATAGTTGACTTGATTACCACAGCTCAACGTCTGTAAGCTCCTTATGTACACTTGGCCGTTGGCCACTTGCAAGGAATTGTAAGTCGTTTCCATTTTGTAGTTCGTGATTTTTATGCAGAAATTTCATTTATTCAAATGCTGGTGTTGTGTACTTAATGATATTTATTAAAGGAAATTCTAATGTGATCGTTGGTTTGAATGTTGCAACGCTGACTTCTGTGTGAGGATGTTCCTCGGTTTCAGCTTCGGCAGCAAGATTTGCCCATATTGCAGTAAAATAATATACAAATTGCACTAAGACAAAAACTATCATGTTAACTTGATACTTTGATCTGAGGCTTGAATTATGGTATTTCTATAGCCTTTTGTTTTACCGATATACAAGCATACCATGTGTCGCTCTGTGCAAGTCTGTCATGCAAAAAATGCGGTTGCGTAGAATCGGCTATCTTTACGAATGCAGTGTGCAAGTGCTGATTTGACAAGACAATCTGACAAATTGTTTATCAGAGGGTCGTTAAGTTTAAAGGCAATCTTGCTTCACGGGAATTCGAAATATCGCTGGGAATCTAGAAATGATAGTAACAGTTCCGTCTGTGTGAAGAAATCACACCGTCTGCAGGCACACAGTTTCTTCATTTACTTACTGAAGATACTGCACTGCAGTGGCATGCCATAAATAATTGGATGTTAACGTGTGAAATTGACTGATAGCGTTATTCCTGAGTTTCATGTTGGCTTCGCATGGATCATTATGGAAGTTCAGAATTCTTCCATAGAGGTCGATTAATGCCCGTTCTTAGTGCAACACTTCATGCAGATTCAGCTGTTTGGTTTGTAAGCTTTTGTAAGCTTGCAACTCACTGCAAGGAAACTAATGGCGTATAGCTGTCCCAGTCTACAAGAAATAAGTACCAGAGCATAAGAATGTTGCATGTTGAAGTGCAGCGTCGGCTGTGCAACCATTTACGAAAATAATAAAATCAGCAAGGGTGAAAGAAATGCTTTGCACGATGCTGCGTTCTGACAACTGGTAGGGGCTTAATTGTCGCGTATGCAGTTATGTGCAATGTCTCTTCTCATTCATATTCTTTGCATTTCACTGATCTTCATCGGTTAAAATTTTATTGTGGTTTGCAATATGGTCATCTGGACGTTCGACCTCTGTCTTCCAGCAGTCGTGATTGAAATTCTTTTTTTGGTTAACATCTGTACGCTGGGGATTGCAAAGCAAACGCGCTTCGTACGAGACAACTCGAAAATACCACAAAAGGCACGCGAATTCACAACTGCCTATCGAGTTGTGTTACAGAGGAAGTCACTAGATATTCTCATTATCCGTACATTTCAGCTGTAGAATACAATCATTCCTTAAATTAGCTCATTAATCAGCAGTGGGTAGTGTATTTTATTACATGAAATCATTTCGGACATCCTCAGTAATTTGGTTTATTCATAAACTGGTACGCACCGCGAGACATATGGGGCATTTGCCATGTGTTCATAACGACGAAACGATTTTCACGTAAATACCGTTTATTGAAGAAACACGTAAATGGATGGAAATGACAGGATCATTCCTAATCACCACCATATAGAGAGTTTAATGGAGTTACAATGTTTATTATATGTTAGATATCGATAGAACTGGTCTATTCGCTTCTAGTGAATAATGTCTTAGGCACAGCCAGTTTCCTTTCTGACCTGCTTCGTAACCGGTATGTACACTGTTCAAACGAGGCTTGATTGATAACAGCGACGTGAAAATCGTTAATATGATTTGGATATGTCGTTGAAGCGTAAATGTTTTTCTATACTATGCTCCTGTAGCCAATGACAGCGGATACAAGCGTTTACGTCAAGCATAGGAGACGATCGACCAACGAACACCGATGTCACTTTAGCCGAGTTCGAGTAAAAATTCGGTCGGCACGGGCACCACCGGCACT